AATCAGGCACACCTTGTTATTTATTTATTTATTTATTTACTATTGCACTCAAGGTGCGCCTAAGACAATCAGCGTGCGTATAAATACCAAGTTGACTGCTAGAAAAATTCAACACACCTTGTGACCTCAACCCCGATAATTCCAACTAAATATTGACGAGCACATTCAATTTTCATACAGCTGCATGACTGTCTCCTAGACAGGCGACAACACAAAAATTTGATACGGAAAATAGTACAAGCTTGGAGCTCAGTGAGATCCTCGACGGATCTTGTATATGCACTACGGCATTGTCTGAACGGCTGCTTGGTAGGGGACTTGCATATTCAGAGCTGCTCTCTCTCTAAAAAAACTCCACTATTGAATTGAGCTAGGAAATAGGTAGCTGTTCCAACATAGAGCAAATACTATAAGTATCGCAAGCTCGATGGCGACAGCGAATGAGTTCATATTATGAAAATAGTGAGGACAGTGAACAAGGACATGCTTTTACTCTTGTGGAATATCCAGAAATAATTTTAGGGAACTTTTTTCTACGAGTCAATTTCTTGACCATTTGCCTTCTGTGAAGTTCGTCTTTCATCGTGATCAATGCATTGAAATTAGTCGCATCAATATCAGGATTTCCGTAAGACTCTCATCAAAACATCACCCTGTTAGATAGTTGACTGGTTTGCTCTGTCGGCAAAAGATTTTTTGACATCCCCCTCCCCTGCTTGTTACGAATCGCGCATTCCAGCCGACTGAAAGTTTTGATTCTCCAAATACATTGTTCTGCGTGATGAACACGTAGTCATTACCGATTAATAACTATCTACCCAGAGAAGGGAATAATAACAGATAATTCTGCAGCAGAAGTGTTGTCAAAGTAAACAAGCAAAATCTTAGATATGGAACAGGACTATGAATGGGATTTCTGAGTCCAACGTCCAGTTCACCCCAAATCTCCCAGTCTCCCATCTTCATATGATCATGCTGACTGCATGTTCACCCCTCTTGAAGCCAGATACCAGTTTGCACATCGGAAAGACTCCATGGTGAGAAAATAAACGGCGGCAGAAGCCGTCTGTTCTCGCTTGCTTAGAGATCTCTTATTCAAAGGTGACATGTAGGAGTGGTACCAAGGACCAGAAGGAGGATAGCAAGCAGCGACATCATGGCGGACGGAGGGGGCACTACTGCGGCGCACGCGGGTGGTGCGGTGGCCGGACGTCGAGAAAACCAGGATTACTATCAATACGTATCATACTATCACGTCAAGTACTCGTAAATTACAACGAAAAATGCACGGAGAAGAAAAGCAGGACCACCAGGGTTCCGACCATCGACGTTGCAAAGTCCATGGTGATAAAAGTAGCTTATTCGCATCTATACCTTTTAACTTTGCTCGCCAAGGTGAAGCAACGGAAGTCCATTTCATAAAACGATTTGATGAAACCCAGTCACGATCAAAAAAGTACTAGCAGGAAGAAAACTGGGTCGATTACGGGACTTGTGATCAATTCATTCTTTTGATTAGGATGGTGTTAGATATTGAGAAAAGCAGGTTTACTCCGGCGCCGCATATCGCGTGCATCACAGCGCCTCGGGAGCAGGGTCAACCGTCCGTTCGAACTGTTCGAACGAAGGGGTCGCATTTTGGTCGGAAGGGGGTCGCAATTTCGAGGACTGCCAGCCACAGGCGCGTGCGTGGCGTATCCGAGGGCAAGAATTGTTTGTGCAGACCGCATTAGATTCGATTAATTATGCACAAGAGAGACAGTTTTGGGCAAATTACGGTGTTTTCCTTGAGGAATAGAGAACAGTTGAATGCATCTCCATGAAAAGGTTTGACTTCTTGTGGCTGAAATTGAACTTCTTCGGGAACCTACTTTTCTACGGACGGTTCTTCCACAAAATCGTGAAACACATAAGAAAGAAGAAACCTCGCGGTCTTCAAAAATGTCTTCGCCTCTTTCCAACATGCTCTTTGAAGGAAGTTATTATTGCTGAAAGCTCGAAACCTCGCATGTGCTGCTCAAAAACCTATGGGATCCAAATGTTCGAACGTGGGATTTTCTCGAAAAATGAACTTTGAAAAATGGTTTAGGGCTTGTTAGAAAGAGCAAATTCTGCTCTTTCACCCCATGGAAAGAGGGAAACGCAGCAATCAAAATGAAGCGAGTTATGCTCGTTGAAAGCCCAAAAACTCGCGATTTCAAAAGAATGTGTTCGGCAAAATCGTATAATATCATATACGCGCGTTGAACAATTCACTCATTTCAGTTGCATTTCTAGCATTTCCTTTTTTTCTTTTTTTTTCTGGCATTTCTTTCATCTTCACTTGCTCTTCAGTGAAGTCGCCGTCTGTGATTGAGACCTGATTTATGTGTTCTGGTGTCGACAGGCTGACATGTGAAGAATGTACACATATTGAGAGCGCCCAAAGCCATCGCGACAGGAGCCCGTCGCGCGGCGAAAAGGCAGGGACGCAGATTATAGGCGTACGAGTCGCAGCGCGTCCTGCGGCGACTTAGCGTCAGGATAAATAAGATGTGCCACAGTGTGTTCCACATTTCAAAATACACGCTGTGACTCGTCTGCTGATCGTTTTTGCGGTCTTCTGCTTTCTCGCATCGCGCGGCGAAAGGCTTCCTATTGTTGGTGGTACCCAAGGCATCAGCTTGTTTGGTCAAAAAATGATGATTCGCAGTCTCTAGACGCTGTTTAACCCACTGATTATCCCCGAGGGTTGGTGGAAGACTTCAGAATATGATGCGGAGCGGCCCCCCGTCGCAATTTTTTTCTATGATTATTCGATTCTTTTCCTCGGTGCTTTTATGGTGGCATAGATTTTTCTCTGCATAAGCGCATAAGTTAGAGCCAAGCGAACGGACGCCAAAGTAACTTTTGTAGGCCCTGCTAATTTATCACAGCCCCCATATGCTTGAAGTGAACTTGTGATCAAAGGAGGGAAACACAAGCAATCAAAATGAAGTGAGTTATAGGAGGGATCGTACTGAGATAAGCGGAAATCACTAGATTACAGACTCAGTTTGCACGCGGGGTAGGCCAAATAGGGTGTTCAAAGATGCACCGGATTCTGAACAAATCGCCCAATTCTGTTAGTGATTCCCGATTATGATTTGATTATCTACATGCTGGTCCAGAGATGCATTGTTGGGTCCAGGGAAGCGGGTCTATTACCGTTGAAGGCAGACTGACAGCAAGAAGACTGCCCTGAACTTCGGGGAGGTGCCATGCCTCATAAGCACCCTAGGGTAGCTCCAATTTTTTGGCTTATTTACTTACTTTTCGACGTTGTCAAGCTTCGGTAACGACAGGTTCGCTCAAATTAGTGTAACTGGAAAAGGGGAGATGGGGAGTTTTGATCTCTTAATGGTGTCACTTAACTGTCGTTATAATCCTTCACTCATGTCAGGCATGCTTTTCCTGTTTAGGTATCCTTATAGAGAAAGATTGTGGAGGAGACGAAAATGAACTAAAGGGGACATTTTTTCTTCCAGCCCCTGATTTTCAGGACGATTACCCCATTCAGCCAGTTCGAATCTCGGAAGTGGATAGTTTTCACGACAATAATCATACAACTTTTTCACAAATTTCTAATGGCAAGTTCCATCAGTTTGTCGGCTAAGGTTGTTCTCGCACTTTGATGCAACTCTGTCGCGATGTGACCGAAAGGCTGTAACTGTCTCCCTAATTGAGCTCTCATAAGAGGCGCTCCAGGTCGCATGCAATTGTGAGAGGTCGTGGCGGAGTGGACGGTACGACACGTTTATCCTCGCGCGAAAAATATCATTTTACAGGAAGAGACGTTTGTATACCGGCTTCTTCGGGATCGCGCCATCAAATACTTATGTGGAGAAATAGATCACCAGGTGTGATGGACTGAGGAATTCGGAGGAATTATTGGGTGCATCCCCGTAATTCTTCACTTGGCGTCGAAAAAATTCGGAAGTAGATAGAGAAAGATGAGAGAGTTTAGTCATCTGGTGCATTTTCTGGCTGCTAAAGACCACCTCAGGGGGGATCGAGCACAGTTTTAAAAACCCTATCTCAATAAGTGAAACAAATACGATGAATTTCTCGCTGTCTTCTCTCAGAGAAGGGTTACAATCATTCTCTAAAACTTTTTTTTCTTCGCGCCGGAATTCGAGTGCCAGTCCCAGTTTCTTCGCCGCGTCCCAGTTTTTGAGCAGTCCGATGATACCTGCCGCGCTCCAAGGTTGACGCCGCAACGCAAACGCTTTCTGCGGCGGTTTCTGACGCAATCATGTCAGTCCTACTCTTCTTTAATCCTTCCTCTTTTTTCAGCTGTTTGAGCAGAAGTTCGTCAGTCTTCATGTTACTTGTTGGATATCCCTCCATTTGGTCTTACACATTTCGCTTTCATCCTCATTTTGGCGTTTGGCGTGATTGTGAGCGAACAAAAATTTTGATCTCGCGAGGCTAACCATAAAAAATAGCTTTCATTAGCCAGTGCCCTGTGATTCTTGCTCCTTTGGGGCTCATCTTAGGAGATGCATTGATGGAGAACGTAACTCTCTTTGATTTACTCCCTTGAACTGCTCTTGTGATTCTTTCGGAAGCATGAAGTTTGAAGTTTTGGGCAACATGCGTCCAGTACTTTCTTCGCATGCCGCGCAAATTTGTGCTTTTTATACATGAATTTTTTGAAAAAAATATTGAATTTTTTTTCAGAAATTCAATGATTTTTTGAAAACAATTCAATTCAAATTTCAGTGAAGATCTCAATATTCAAATGTTCTGTTCATATTTCATGGAAGTTCATTGTCCATTTGAAAACAATGAACTTACGAACTTACGAACACAACATTTGAATATTGAATTCTTTACTGAACATTTGAATTGAATTTTTTCAAAAAATCATTGAATTTTTTGAAAAAAAAATTCAATGATTTTTTGAAAAGAATTCAATTCAAATGCCAGTGAAGAATTCAATATTCAAATGTTTTGTTCTATGTCATGGAAGTTCATTGTCTTTAAAAGGTTTTAGTTCACTGTCTTTGAAGTAAAATGAGTGAAATAAATATTTCACTTAACATTTAGTCAGCACATTCGGCACTTCCATTACCTAAGAGGGGGTCGCAACTGGACCCCCTTGAGATAAGGGGGTGACCCCCTTGAGAAAAGGGGGTCGCAAAAACCCTGAAAATGTTCGAACGTGACGGTTGACCCTGTAGGGAGAAATCACCTGTTACACGAAAATAGCAGCATGACGTACTCCATTAACCACCACCGCGTCATACCTCCTTATACCCCTTCTCTCCGGCGCATGGCAGCGCCATGTTTCTGCTCCCTTTCTCCTCTCCCCTTCCCTCCCTCTTTCTCTCTCTCCCTCCCCTCCCTTCCAGCCTCCCCTTTCTTGCCCCCTTCCCTCTACTCCCCTCTCATCCACCCCACCCCCCGCTCATCCGCTGCCACGGCAGCACCATGTAGAATGAGACTGAGTGTGCTCGATCGGTGTTTATATAGCCGCTGTGGGTTATCATGATCATGACATCAACATCACGAAGTGTTGCCCTTCGTACTCCCTGGTTTTGTGAGCGGTCGGTCCGGACGGACAGAACGACACACACACACCGACAAACCGACACACCAAAGTTCTGGTTTATATAATGAAGTGATAAATTTTAAATCTTTCAATCTAAATCAAAATTAACTAAGATTGGATTTGTCAAAGTGAATCTGGAACTCTTCAGCATTTCCGCCAAAGACTAAATTCTGGCTGGGATTGCGTTATAAAGATAATCAATGGATATGGCCAGGAGGCTACTCGGTGAGTTTTCACACATCAAAATTTTTCTTTAATAATTCAGCTTAACGCCATTGAAATTCGGGCGACTCAAAAGTCAAGAGAAGAAGCCTGTAAGCCCAAAGAATAAGCCTTAGAGTACACCAGGAGCCACTCTCCGTTTTGAGCACGCATAAAACGAGCAACTCCAACATCTCTCTTCGATAAGAACCTCTTGCCATTGGTTGGAGTCATAATACTATACTTCTTGCAGAGGATTGTTTAGGGGACAACTTTATATAGTGGCCTAACGTTTCGACGAGATCGTCTTCCTCAAAGTTTACACCATAACTAACCTGGAGTGGCGCTGTTCTACTCTTGCGGTGGTGGACTGGGCCTTTGAGGAAGACGATCTCGTCGAAACGTCAGGCCACTAATAAAGTTGCCACCTAACAACCTCGTTGGCAGAAGTATAATATCATAAAACGATCATTTTTGTAAGGATGTGGGTTACGAGTGAAATTTTTGCCCCAGGCTGGACCCTGGGGTACGATCTCTCGCTTACCTGTCAAGTGCGCTAACAGTTAGATTACCGAGGCACCGTTTCGCGCTGATTCAGCTTTCAACTTGCAGCGCACTTGCCCGGTAAGCGAGAGGTGCGGGTTCTAGTCCCGCCTGGGGCGAAAGTTTTGTTCACAACCCAGCATTCTTGTGAAACATTCGCAAGGCGAACTGCGGCCAAAAACAGCAGTTAACAAACAAAAACAAGTATTTCTACAATTTGTGAATAATAAGAGCCGAGCAGGCAGGGAACTAGAATCCCATATTCTTCCGAAAAGCAATAGTTTAGACAACTGTATACATGGCTTGAATTACATGTATGGAGAAACATTTTAAGGCTGGCTTCACTAATTGGGCTCCGGGTCAACCGAACTATGAAGCGGGACATTGTGCCTACATGCAAGTGTTCTCCGGATCGGAGTAGGTGTTTTTTCTTTTCTTAAGCACATTTCTTATCATCTCCTGTCAGCTACGCATCACTTACACATGTAGAACGTACCTTCGAAACGAAAAGAGCGAATTCGAAGGACAGGAATAGGACCAGCCGCTTCATTTACACAACACTAAACCCACCCACACTCAGACTATTGCAAAACTGCGATACTGGATAATCTGTCATGAGTTCTAACTTCCCAAATTGTGAACTCTGTAGCGTTGGTGAGTGTAGCTCGTCCCAAATCACCCGCTCGACAAGCGGTATGTTCATTCGAATCAGAACCGGATTATAACGTGTGTACGAAAATTTGCGAGGTTAATGCACAAATTGGCTAGTCAGAGGGCTATCAAAGATCACGCAGAAATGTGCATACCTTTCTCTCCCTTTCTCCTTATTTGTGTACCTCCTTGTGAAATGACTGATAACCCTATGAGAACACATAAACAACGTACCTTTTCAGATCTGCGTGGTATACAGACGACTGCGACAACGATCACAATTACATCTGCCAAGCGAAACCATGCGACTCGACCAATTATTGTGAAGCAGAGTAGAGCCATGCCAAATGTATCTCGCATCTGAGAAGAAAAAAAATCTTGTGTGAGAAATAAACAATTGGAGCAAATCTTCACATGTTCTTAACATGTACTTAACACTTTGCGCACCTCGTGGGACATTGTGACGCGGTAACGCGTCCCACCCAAGTCATCCCTTTTTCTTGCGCTTGCGCGACTTATTCCTAAGGTCTTTGTACTCATTCTATAGGTCATACATTAGCATACTTAAAAACCACATGGCTCACAGAAAGGCCAAATATTCTTTAGTTTGGCAGAGTTTTCCAGACCTTACGGATATGTCTGTTCAGTTCATTCCTCGTTTTCTTTTCAATAACGTAAACATGATGATAGGGAAGATGCGTGTTTTTACTGAAACAACCACGTCCAAATTAATTTTGGAACCACTAAAGGGAAATAAGTAAAATTTCCCTTTTCATGGCCTTAACACGTCATTTCGGTCAAACTTCCATTACTGTAACCCTGATAAGCTAGACAGATCGAACATCATTGAAAACATGGGTCAGCGCTTTTTAAGTATAACGAATTTACAATTAAATTTACAATTATTTACAAAATCCATGAATTTGGTGTGCGGTGGCTGCACTCGCGAAATCGCCCTTGTCCCACGCGGTGCAAAAGCACAAAACGCGCGATGTCGTCAACGTGTTAAGTGAATGGAGTCCTATGGAGGCTATGCTATAATGCGCTTTATGCTTTAACGCGACTATCAAAAAACCAACAACTACAATGAGACTCACAAAGAACGGATGATAGCACGAAGTGATCATATCCAATTAGGCTGTCGAATGTATTTTTGAACGCTGATCTCGAAGCATGGTTTCCAAATCTGCCAATCGCCCTTTCTGAACAAAGTTACGATGCGACATAGAGTAGCAGTAGTGGTCTGGACC